AGAACTGAATATAGTACTACACACGGGACACTGATTACTGAGAGCAATAATATGAGCAACCATCCGATGACCATGTCGTGCAACAATATGAGTATGAACCGCACACCGATCGGGAAGAACAGCGTTACACCCCATCCCATCCTTACAAGTAAGCTGACATATATAGACACCATCACGCCCGAACACATGAACAGGAGGCTCAGAAACTTTACATTCCAGATCTGGTACATGATTAGGTGGGGCAATCGAAACAGAATAGAATCTACTCCTCAATTGTCTCATATCGATACGTAGGAAATCTTCCCGCGCCTCCTCATCCCGAAAGAGTAGCCAAAAGCGCCCATCGAGATAGTCCAGCAGAGCCCCTCCCTCATCCAGAACCTCCAGGGTCTCGAGATCTTCCCAGAGCCTCCGAACCCACGGATGAGCCGTGGCCTCCAGACGACCAGAAGGGGTAAACACAGCATAGAAGGGCCCCTTGCCATTGCCTCCGTAAGTGCCAAGAAGAGCCCCCAAGACTTGCCTATGCTCCTCAGGATGTCCTACAAGTTCCTGGAGTAGACGCAAACGACGAATACGGGCCTCAAGATCAATAGGTACCAGACGCCACCATTTTAGAACCTCAAGGTTAGAGAGCGAACGTGGATGTCCGTGAGCGTCACGGTCACAGGCAGCACCTCGCATGGCTTTGCGCGCGTACGCTGCCACCGTACTCGTGAGCTTCGCGAAATCAGCAGAGGACGGCAGAAAGGCCTCCAGGCCAGACAGTGCGGTATTATACACTTTGCATAACAGCATACACCTTCGGAAACGATGCGGCACTCCAGCAAGATGCCAAAAATACCCGAGTGAATGCCACCCAGCTCGGACCGCCGCCAGCCTCGCCTTAAGCTCCTGGCCGGAGTAGAGAGATGAGGTCCCCATCATAACCCCAAGACTTTTGACCAGCTGCGACTGTTTCCCAGGAAAGCGAACATCCCCAGAACGAATCACCTGATAAGCGGATCCAACTCCGCGCCCAAACAAACTTAATAGAGTATCTTGCTTTGTCAGATTCTGTTTGTACCCAGCAGGACCCAGACACGCATCTAAGTCTTGGTTAGAGTAGGAGCTGGCGATGGCAAGCGACGCGGCAGACGTACTACGGCCTCCAATCAGCTTCTTAGTAAGATCGTCGGCATACTTGGTCAGAGAAAGATCCACCTCCCCTCCCAGCGGCGACCGAACGACGAGTTGATCCACGTAGGGGCCCCATCCTCTCTGCCTATCCTGCCACTCCTCGACGACGGGGGCGAACGTGTGAACGAAGCTCCGCACAGCGAACCCGTCCCCCATCAGCCCTCCACACCCAGGCCTAAGAGTGATATCTCGATCACAGCCTGCAAGGGTAACTGTAGCTCGTTGGTAGCGCTGATGTCCAAACGACTCAGAGCCTGGACGAAACATCTGATGCATAGTCATGCTCATACAAGACCAGCTGCCGGACGAAAAAGCATTGGCTAGGTCATGACTGTTGGTAATGTGAGACATTCCAGAACGCTGCAAGTGAAAGCCTGCGATGTGTTGGACCAACAGGGATTCTTCGCGCCGATGACGGGGCACAAAGCCGTGATCTGCATAGCAATACTGGCCAGGCCCCCGCTGCCCCATGAGTCCAGACATCCAGAGATTGCCCAGAGGATCTAAGAGATGAATCCATCGGGTACGATGATCTTTGCGTGGAAGGGGAACCCCGCGACTACGATGCCAACGAACAGGAGTGGCCCTGCAACTGCGGATCCTCTGAAGCCCAGCTTTCAAGACATCCCAGAAACCTTCAGGATCAGGAGGACGAGCCTGACTACCGAGACCCCGTCCTCGAGAGCTGAGCCTGCGTTGCGGGTGCAGCAGGAGCCACCAGAGTTCCAGAGGGGGAGCCCACTCAGGTACCGCACGTCGTTTTCCTGCACGAAGAAGCCCCCTGCGAATTCCAACCAGATCAGCATACGCACTCTTCTTATCCTCGCTGGTGATCTCCCGCGCTTCAGGAGCAGCGAACATACAAGCATCACGAAACTCATCCCGACTCGAAACTTGGGAGGCCTGCATGCCCCCGTCGGCCCCGGCCTGGGAAAACTGCACGAGCAAAACCTCGGCTGTCTCGACAACCCCTCGGACGCCCAGGTAATCACGTTTTTTTGGCCCAAAACGACTGCCTGATGCTTGTCGTGCCAGACGTGCCACCTCGGCCAAACGCCGATGCCTCCACATCTCATTCATCTCCTCAATCACCTCCTCCTGGTACTCCTTCCGCTGCCGTCGAAGATATCTGGAATTCGCCTTAGAGATCTCCCGAAGACGTTCCAGGACCTCCTCCGCCTCCTCCTCAGAAACAGCAGCAAGCTCGTGTCGTATACGACGCCCGACCTCGAGCAACTCTAGTCTCTCGGCTGCGAGCTGACGAGCGGGTCTGACACGATCACGAGAAAAGAAGGGTCGACCAACCTCAATCATGGTATTG